GAAACTTTGCCTCGTACGCTGCCTGTCCACCAACTTACTCCTATGAAATGACCCTCATGTGACAAGTCACTCCTGCGGGGGAGAGTCCGAGCGCGCTTCTGGCCAGTTCTGGACCCTGTCAACTGTCTTCTCACGCCCCACACTCATGTACTCTAACAGACTCTGCTCCTTTCCTCCTCAGTGCCATCTCCATTGTCACCATACGCTCAGTGGTGAATCCTCTGATGCCTGGCTGTCCTCATGCCATGCTGTGCCCTCCCTGAGAGCGGGGCCCGTGGTGATTTTCATCATCACTGTAGCCCAGGGCCTGGCCCAAGAAATGCTCAGATTTAACAGTCTGATGAAAGTTAGGGACCAACATCCTCAGGAAAAAAAGTGTACTTTCATGACCTGTTGGTGCTATTTTGCAGGAAGTTCACATACTTCTGGGAGCCTTTCTACCGCTTTTTGCCAGGGAACCTCTCAAAGAGGATGGTCACATGTGATAGAGAGGGAAGTGGGAAAGTAGAGGACCCTGGGGCCACATCTGTCCCCAGGCACGTTCTGTTAGCTCATATGATGTTTTTTTGTTTTCTTTCTTTTTTTTTTTTTGAGACAGAGTCTCACTCTGTTATCTGGGCTAGAGTGCCATGGCGTCAGCCTAGCTCACAGCAACCTGTAGCTCCTGGGCTCAAGCCATCCTCCTGCCTTAGCCTCCCGAGTAGCCGTGAGTAGCTGGGACTAAAGGAATGCACCACCATGCCCGGCTAATTTTTTCTATATATATTTTTAGTTGGCCAATTAATTTCTTTCTATTTTTAGTAGAGACAGGGTCTTGCTCTTGCTCAGGCTGGTTTCGAACTCCTGACCTTGAGCAATCCTTCCGCTTCAGGCCTTCCAGAGTGCTAGGATTACAGGCATGAGAAACCACGCCTGGCCTCATACGATGTTTTAAGAGAATTTAAACTGACATGTAAAAATCGGGACTTTTCACATAAATCTTAATTTCTGATTTTCCCTGGGAGAAAACAATCAGAAGCTATGTAACAGTGGGCCCAGTTTCCTATACACCCACAGCTTAGGGGAGCCCACCAGTGGTGGCCTTGGCCTGTTGTTCTGGCTCACTAAGGTCCCTTCCCTAGCAATTCGTTTCCCCAGTGCCAACGCCAAGTGTCAGCTGGTCACCCCTCCCCTGCACAACTTTCTTCATAGCAGACAATATACACTTTTCTTACATTCTTTACTGAAGGCTGAAAAATAAAAAATGAGCCAGGTGCGGCGGCTCACATCTGTAATCTTAGCACTCTGGGAGGCCGAGGTGGGTGGATCACTTGAGTTCAGGAGTTCGAGACCAGCCTGAGCAAGAGCAAGACCCCGTCTCTACTATAAATAGAAAGAAATTAATTGGCCAACTAAAAATATAAAGAAAAAATTAGCTGGGCATGGTGGTGCATGCCTGTAGTCCCAGCTACTCGGAAGGATGAAGCAGCAGGATTGCTTGAGCCCAGGAGTTTGAGGTTGCTGTGAGCTAGGCTGATGCCACGGCACTCTAGCCCGGGCAACAGAGTGAGACTCTGTCTCAAAAAAACAAAAACAAAACAAAACAAAACAAAACAAAAAGACAGCACATCTCCCCGTGGAGGTGAAGAATCCCGCCTACGCAGTAAGTACTCTGCCGGCCTTGCCTGAGATTCCTGCTGGGCCCTGGAACAGCCACGCCTCCATTCCTGCTTCAGAGGACAGCCAAGAGATGTGACTATTCCAGGGGTAATAAGGGGCCAGTCACCCTGTACCGACTTCCCACAGTGGCTGTGAGGGTTAGGGAAAAACCTAACACATTGCCAGGCACAGAGGAGAGGCTGGACAAATGGCAGCTCCTATTGCAGTGTCACGAAGTGCAGTCACAGATGCTAACACTGAGGGACAGTGGGCTTTCAGCAGCTCCAGGTCCTCACTGACCTGAGGTCAATGACCAGACAAGGAAACAGAGGCCTTGGGCTGGCAGCCCAACAATTCTTGCAGGGACATGCTCTACTTACTCGTGGTGGTCGCTGAAGCTCTGGAGAAGCCTCAAAAACTGTATCTTCAAGGTGATATCCTAAAATACATGTGTATTCTCAGTGTTAAAATACGGTACCAACATTCCCATATAAAACAAGGCAGACACTCTGGAGACAGCCTGCTGCTCTGAGTCTCTGTCCTCATGCACAATGAGGACTTTTCTTTAGTCAGAAATCCATTTGTTGACTTCCACATTCTGGCCAACAACAGATTACGCTAATGTGGACCCTTCCTGCTAAAAATACCCAAGCACACTGGATAAAAAATAATCAAAATTCTTTCAAATGTGAAGCTAAGTTCCTAAGAATGAAAGGGAAGTACGCAGGAATGAGAAGTGAAAAAAGAACCAAGTAGGGAGCAGTGAGCCCAGAAGCTGACGCTTGGCAGCTGTGGGTGTGTGGAGCAGAGGAATGTGACTTGGTCACACTACGGTTTGGGCTTTAATGCCCTGCAGAACCCAACAGAGCCTTGGGCCTGCATATGCCTTGTGAAAGGGTTTGAAAGACCCAACCTACTGGCCCAGGGAGTTGGCTTCAAGAAGCCTGGCTTTCCTAGAGCTCTGACGGCAGCTGGAGGGGAGCCTCCCAGGAGCAGCAGAAACCCTGGGCGCACACTACCAGAGCAGCAGGGCCAAGACGTTAAACACAGAAACTGGCCCTGGGACATCTGTACCCTTGAGTACCTGCCAGACAAAAGCAAAAGTGCCCTGTAGAAGTGCTTCCAGGGCTAAGGCTACATAGGTGCTCAAAAAGAAAACAAGCCTCCTGAAGGTGGCCTCTCCATAAACATCACAAAATACAAGGCAACCCTGTACCCTAAGTGTCTGAAGTCCCAAACACAAGCATTAGTACCCATGAGCAAATGAAAGAGACCATAAGAAAGTATGTTACATGTACACCGATCTATTTGAGAAAGAAAAATGAAAAAAAAATTAAAAAAAAAAAAAGAAAAAAAAAAAGAAAGTATGTTACAAATGATTAAAGAAATAACATATAACAGAAGGAAGACATCAACATAATGAACAAATATTATGCAGTTTTTCAACAGAGTCAGACAGAATGTCTAGAAATGCAAAATATATTCACTTGAAATTAAAAATTCAAATGGAGCTGGGTATGGTGCCCTATGTTTGTAATCTCAGCTACTTGGGAGGCTGAGGCAGTAGGATTGCTTAAACTCAAGAGCTCAAGGCTGCTGTGAGCTATGATGGTGCCACTGCACTCCAGCCTGGGCAACAGAGTGAGACCTCATCTCTTAAAACAAAAAAACAACAACAAAATGAAGAGGCCAGGAGTGGTGGCTCACACCTGTAATCCCAGCACTTTGGGAAGCTGAGGTGGGAGGATCTCTCGAGGCTAGGAGTTTGAGATCAGCCTGAGCAACACAACAAGATGCTGTATATGCAAGAAACAAAAATAAAATCCCAAAAACAAAAACTCAGATGGAGGGACTAAAGGCAAATCTGATAAGGTCAAAGAAAAAATGGAAAGCAGAAGACAGGGCACTGAACAAAGTCCCCAAATGCAGCACACAGACCAGGTGCCCTGGCACTTTCCCGTTCATGCTGGTGGGTGGGCCTCTGACGGGCTGGGGAGGCTGGTGGGCACAGGAATATTTTCCTCCTTTTGCAAGGAAACAAAAGCTCAGAGATTCAGTGACTTATTCAAGGTCTCCCAACAGGCAGAGTGGCACCAGGCCTTCTGACGCCCAGTTCAGAGCTCTCTCTTGGACACTGAGAGACACAAGGTAGAGGCGAGTCCTTGGCCTCAAAAAACTGAAGCATCCCACAGTACTTTTTTGATGCAGACCCTCAGTCATGTGTGGTTCTAGGAGGCAAACCTAGCATCAGTGGGTGTAAATTACAAAGGGATAGAACATCAAATAAGGAAAAAAACTTTCTGCTAGCTAATGGAGTAGGTGGCTCTGCCTATAGGGAAGCAAAATCCCCATCCCAGTGGTGTACAAGGGGAGTATATGACTTTTTTTTTTTTTTTTTGAGAGACATGGCCTTGTTCTGACACCTAGACTAAAGTATAGTGGTGTGACCATAGCTCAAACCATGTAGCCTCAAACTCCTGGGCTCTAGCAATCCTCCCGCCTCAGCCTTCCAAGTAGCTGGGACTACAGGTGCACACCACCACACTTGGCCTATTTTTAAATTTCCCTTGTAGAGACAAGGTTTTTTTTTTTTTTTTTTTTTTTGTGCTGCCATGTGATAGAAGAATGATTTATTAGAACAAATTTCATGACAAATGATATAAAATAACCATTTTCTGAAAGATATCCACGAGACCACCTGAGAACAAATGTACAGTGAAACCTCCGGGAAGCCATATAAGTTACTGATCCCAAGTCACAGGCGGGCGGGGCAGGAACAAAGAACCAACGTGGGAGGAGCACGCATTGGAGGATGAAAGAAAGTGTGCGAGGGCGGGTGTGGGGGGAGGTTCTGGGCCGGGGACAGGGCCACAGGAGCCAGGGCAGGCTGTGGGCGGCCGTGTGGGGCATGCAGGGGGAGACAGGGTAATCTTAAATGGGATTTTTGCATAGGGAGTTTAGCATAGGGTTGGCTCGGACGCTTCCCCAAGGTAGCTTACAATTATGGATTATAAAATATGACTTTTAGCTTCTGCTCTACTCTCAAAGAACAAGAGGTCAAAGGGTCAGCAAGAGGTCTTGAAACAACTACTCCTAGCAAGTCAAGCCCCATCGGTCCCCAGATTCCCTTGCTTACCGGGCTACAGTCACAATTCTGGTTGTGACCATGGAGGACAAGGGCAGATGCTGAGTGCTTCCTCCAAATAAGCTTGTCAAACAAATTATTGAGTCCAGGGATCAGCTTGAACTCTGCAATCATTCTGTGAACCTGGATGGGAAAGGAAGGGAAATGCATTGAGAAAAAAGTGCTTGGAAGATCTAGCAAAGCCTCATGCTCAGCACGTACGACGACGATCTTTAGGACGAAGAAAGCCAACAGTTGACACGGAGTGTTGAGGCCTAAAGAAAACATCCTTACATACCCTACACCCCACTACACACAAATATACTGTTTAACTTTGCTCATTAATACTCACAAAAATCCTACAAGTCATAAAGCATGGTAGGTCCTATCTTAGGAGCATCAGTTTTAGATTCAGATAGCCTTGGGTCAGACTCCCAGCTCCATCATGTGCAAACTTTGTAACCTCAAGAAAGTTTCTTAAGATTTGTTTCCTCATTACATCATTAAAATGAAAATATACCTCATGCTTTACCACTGGGATAAATTTCAACTGGAAGCAAGATGCAATTATTAAAAGCTGAAACTCTAAGATCTCCTAGAAAAATCTATGCAAAGACTTCAAAAAAATGATCTAACCTGGTAAAGCCTTTCTGAAAGATTATACTAAGCCCAGAAGCTAAAAAAGATGATTTTTGATTTTGCCAAACAAATCTTTTAAAACTGATCATGGCAAAACTCACAATAAACAAAGTCACAAGTCACATATGACAAATGGAGAACATACATCGGCAACTCATGCCACAGGCCAAAAGCTAATTTCCTCTATGGAGAGTCCTACACATCTCTGAAACAAAAAGATCAACCCTACAGAAAAAAAAAACCAGACAAAGGCTATAGAAAGTAAAACAGAAAAGGCTCTTAAATATATGAAAATAGCTCAACCTCACTTGCACTATTAAGAAAAAGTCAAATCCCAACCAATTTTTCACTTTTTTAGATAGGCAAAGATGGCAAAGTGTTATAGTACCATGTTGGTGAGTGACCTGGGCACCAAGCACATCGCACATGCTGGGGGGAGGGCATCCTGGTGCTACAGGGAGGACACTTGCACAGAATCCCCCCAAAATAACAAATCTACATGCCCTTTGACCAGAAATTCCACTTTTAGGAATTTATTGTCAGACAGACCCATATAAATCTAAATGGCATATATTTACAATACTACTCAAAGCAGCATTATTTGTAATACCAAAAAACAGACATAAGCTACACTTCCATCATTGGGGATTAGTTATATAAATTATAGTACATCCACTCAAAGGGATATAAGGCACCAGCAAAAAAAAAAAAGTCTTTTACATGTAGTGAATTGAATAATCCTTAAGATACAAGAAAGTGTGTACATGCTATTATTACTGATTGTATAAAAAAGAGGAATATATGTGCTTTTATAAGCATAAAATGTCTCTAGAAGGATATACTAATAGCTGGTAAAATTAGTTGCTTCATGTAAGAATGCTGACAATCAAAGGAGAGAGAGGCTTCACTGAGGCTAATTTATTAATATATCTTTTAAAATAGAACTATGGGGCCAGGCAGTGGCTCACGCCTGTAATCTCAGCACTTTGGGAGGCCAGGAGTTTAAGACCTGCCCAGACAACATAGTGAGACCTTGTCTCTATAAAAAAAAATTTAAAAATAAGCTGGGCATGGCGGTGCGCATCTGTAGCCCCAGCTACTAGGGAGGCTGAGGCGGGAGGATTGCTAGAGTCCAGAAGTGTGTTGCTGCAGTGAGCTATGCTCATGCCACTGTACTTTAGTCTGGGTGTCAGAGCAAGACCCTGTCTCTGCAGCCTCCATGCCCACAGACCTCTTCTTTGGACACAGAAGTCATAGCCTCTGGTCAGTGTTAGACACATATGCAGCCCAGAATCTGTTAGACCAAGGGCTAACACAAAATGATGTCTGTTCCACTGCTCATCCCTTTACTAAAACCCAGCTTGGGTCTACTTTGCCCTGCTTTTACTGAGGTGGGGAGAGGGGGTTGATATCTATGGCGGTCACCAAGCTATGTGCCTTGCTGTCTCACTCCAAAGAACTCTAAGCCAGGCCCAGGTCATAGTTAGAAAAAGATGACACCATTACAATGACCCTGAAAGGTCATCTAGTCCAACTGCCTCACTGCACAGACCAGAAACCCAGGCTCAAGGAGACCAGGGGTGTCACACAACTGGGAAAGGGGGTCCTTCTTAAGCTGATTTGGGTCTGACTCTGGGTTCAGACCAGTGCTTAGGTTTGAGGTTTCTACTATGCTATTTCCCTTTTCTCTTGAAAATACCAGCTTCTTTACCTATAGGACAAATTTTATTTGTCAGATGCATGTCTCCTACTCTCAGGTCCAGCCCCTTGTCTGATCTAGAGCAGGACTGAGGTGAAGCAGGTAAGAGGGCAGAACGAGGGACCACTCTACCTGGGGGGCAGTGGGCAGGAGCTCGGCTTTGGAGGCAGACACCCCCAGGCTCACAAGGGAGCTCTGTGACCCTGGGCAATGTTCTTCTTTGAGTCTGAGTCCCCTGACAGAAAAAAGTGTGTGTGTGTGTGGGGGGGGAGGATAATAGAGCTATTGAAAGGGTTCAGTGAAGTAATGAGGAAGCAGCCCAGGGCAGTTAAAAAAAAAAAAAAAGCAATTGCTTTATCGATTATCTTCATGAGGACCAGAGCGATGAAACTTACAGCACTTAGGGAGCCTTTCCAGTCTTGATATTTCAATTTGGCTAAGACTGGTCAGAGAACGTGGCCCAACTGCACACTAACAGGATCACTGTAAGGAGGAAGCCTTCTGTGAGGCCTGGCCAAGCAAACCCTTCCCCTTGCTCCGGGTCTAGGCAGGGTGTGTGAATCCACGTCCCCATCCTGCCTGGCACACAGTAGGAACTCAGTAGCTGCTAACTGTGCAAACGAGAATGTACCGGTAAGACACTAGTTCTTGGTGGGGCAGGATTCCAAGGCCACTGAAGGTTCATTCCCAAGGAAGCAGCACTGTAATCCCACAGATTAAAGACCACAATGTCTCATAGCAACTTGGCAAGAGGAAGGCTCAAGGAACAGGGAACTTTTTGTGAGGGGACAGAGAGAGGAGGCAGGGTAGCAGAGTCCAAATCCTGGCTTTGCCCAGCCCTGGCCAGTGAGAGCACAACCCATTTCTGTACCCTGGTTTTCTCAAGCATCAGGTGTGGGGATGGAGGTCACCACCTGTTGTATAAATTACCAAATACCTGAAAATTCAAATATGAATAACTGTGAAAGTACCTCTAAAAGCACTCAATATGTGGAAGCTGTGCCTACTGCTGTTATTACTATTATTTTTTTTAATAATATGTTCCATAATGAAGGAAGGGATGTCAGTGTGGGATCTCACCCAGTGTCTTGGTTTTAAATACCAACAATTTGCTGAGGACTCTCAAAGAGACACCTCCAGCCCTGAGCCTGCCCCTCTACTCCTGACCACCAGTCTTGAGCATCTCAATAAATGGCAAATCCATTCCTCTACATGCTTAAGCCAAAAACCTTGGGAGTCATCCTTAACTCTTCTCTATCTTATGTCTATGGTCAAACCATCAGCAAATCTTACCTGTTCTACTTTCAGGATGTGTCCAGAATGCAACCGCTTCCCACCACTCCCACTGCCATGTGCCATTCCTAGCTACTATCATCTCTCAGCTCCTCGACGAGGGCTCCTAATGGTCTCTGTACTCCCATCCCTGCTCTCCAGACTTTCAGAGAGCAGCCAGAGGGATGACTTCCCACTTTGCTGAGAGAAAAAACCAAAGTCTTTAAAATGGCCTCTGACAGCTAGGTGGGATCTGGTCTCTGGGAGCCCTCAGCCCCCCTCGCCTCACTGCTTGGTCCAGCCCACCAGCCCAGACTCTTCACTGCTCTACCCTGACAGCAGGCACACTCCCACCACAGGGGCACTGCTCCCTCTACCTGGTGGCTGCCTTAGATCGCAGCACATCTGGCTCCCTCACTTTCCTCGGGACATTTTCAAGCCAAATATCGTCTTTTCAGTGACTCTTTTCCTGGCTCTTTTGCAAAAGTGTTCATTTGTAAAATGGGGACAACTGATCCAGTGTGACTCAGAAGGACTGCTGAGCTCCCAACCTGTCCTCCCTGGAAGTCCCTCATCCCACCATGCCTGGTTTCCTCCCTAGGACAGCAATATAGTCAGCAGGAGGGGCCACCTCGCACCAGTCTTGAGGATCGCTGTCCTCTTTCTCCCACTGCAGGTTATGGGACCTTGCTCCTCCCTCCTGGAACTGCTTCACGGCTCAAGGGACTCCAGCACATCTGGATTTGCCCTACCACCCTAAGCCTGCATCAGATTGGCAACTCCTCCTGCACGTCCGCACGGCCAGTCTTGACAGGCATCAGCTCTCTAGTTCTTCGCATCACCGAGGCAGGCTGCCTGCTCCCCCCATCCACCACCGCTGTCCAGAAACACTGCTCACAGCAAGGAAGGGTGGAAAGACTCAGCTCTGGAATCAGCCTGGTTTCCTTACATGTGAAACAGGAAAAACGAAACCCACCCCTACACTTGGCTGGGCCAGAGCAAGAGCCATTCTGAGAGAAACCCAATGGAGCACCTGGAGGCTTTGCTCCTGGCTCCCCGTCCTGAGACGTTGGAGAGGGGCCCACCTGGTTTCGCTGACGCCCCATCAGCAGCACGCACAGGACATAGAGCACTTCCAGTTTGTACATGATCTCGTGCATGATCTTCATTGACTGGGGCAGCTGGGTCCTAGTTGAAGTGTGAGGCAGACCATTCTCTTCCGAAGCCCCTGGAGGCGGGAACACAATGGAGGCTGAAACAGCAGCCACCGGGAGAGAAGTGTGAGTCACAGCTTGTGAGGAAGTGTATTTCTGCCCATCAAATCTGTTGTCAACAAACCTGAGGTAACATTGCCATTAGGCTGGGCCCTGAGCCTGCGACAGAGACTCTGAAAGCTGTGAAACTCTCTCCAAACCCCCAGGAGCCAGGCAAGCTTAGAAACCAACTTCAACATAAAGTAAAACTGTTCTACACAGCCAATACAGTAACACAATCCATGCCCTCCCTGCTTACTCCTTTCTCCTGTCACCAACCAGCCCCCAGGGAGTGCCCAGACAGATGTCTGGCAGCAAACTGTGTGGAACTCTCTTCAGGTCACAAATGACTCTGATTACTTGGTCATCTTGCCTAGATTCCATGAGGGTCGGACACTGTTGAAAGCCTGAGAGGGATCTTTTTTGAAGAATTTTCCCTCCAGTTTTCAAAGAAGAACTTAAAGTTTTCTAAGGTTCAACTTCTAAAGCAGACTGGGTGTTGCAACTGACACTAGTCATGCAGATAACGCAGTATCTATTAGCAGATTTTCATCTTATCCAGTCTCGTTATTACTAATAGCAACAGGTAAGTAACATTTATGGGACACTTGACATGTGTCAGGCATCATATTCTGAGCTTTACATAATCCATCTCCTTTATCACCCACTTAATGAAAAAGTCCCAATATTAGTTGACTTCTCTGTACTTCTGTATCCATCCCTCATCTGTAAGGCAGTGATAATGACAAAAGTACCTACGTCTCAATGTTGTGAGGATTAGAGGAATATGTAGAACAATGCCCAGTGCATGTACAACAGGTATGTTAAATAGAAGTAAAAAACTAAGTTTTTCTGCTAATGCATGCTTACTACTTGGTTTTCTTCTTTCTAATCTGGAAGTTCTCAATGGCAACTACAGTGGCAGTGGGTAAAGACTTAGGAAAAACTTACTGGAGAAAATCTAATTTAAAAAATTCTATCTATTCACATATTTTCCTGCACCTTGGCAGAAAAAATATAATTACTTAATTTCCACATTGGGACTCCTTGGCCCAGCTCCCAGAACAGTTAAGAGTCAACTGATTTGTGGAGCGAATACAAAGAACTCTGATGCAGAATCCCGCCTCTGCCATCCATTTGCTGGGTAATCAGCTGTACCTCAGTGTCCTCAGCAACTAGCTCACGGGGCTCTAGGGAAGACGGCTCTAGGGATGTCTACAGCAGGGGCAGGTGCAGGGTGTGGCACACAAGCCCTCCTCAGTAATGAGCACCTGAGGAGAAGGAGACACAGGCAGCTCGACTCTTCCCCAAGTCACTGCCAACTTTTGATGCCTGGGTTACAAAGGCCTGACAAACACTCTGGGATAAATATTTTCAAGAAATATCTAAAGCAATGCCCAGAGCTTAGCAACAAGGTCATTCCTAAGGATGAGGACATGAAAACTAGCTCAAGAGGCCTATGCTTCCCTCCACGTCTCTTCAGCTCTACAATAACTGATGAGTGTGGTCACCACTCTCTGTATGTCTGCACTGTACTCTGCTTTCTGGGGCTGGATTCATACTCATTCTTTTGTTAAAAAACTGCTTTGAGCTACAATTCACATACCAGGCAACTCACTCATTTAATCACAGAAAGGCATTGGTTTGTAGTATATTTACGGAGTTGTAAAGAGTTGGAGCCATCACTCCAAAAAGACATCTTGTACTTGTTGGCACTGTAGTAGTCAATGCAGTCATTCCCTACTTCTTACCAAACCCCTCAGCCCCAGGCAACCACTAAACTACTTTCTGTCTCTATGGAACTGCCTATTCGGGACACTTCATATAAATGAGCTTATAGAATACATGGCCTTTTATGACTGTTTCTTTCACCTAATACGATGTTTTCAAGGCTTATCCAATGTGGTAGCCTGTACTGACATTTCATTTTTTAATTGCTAAACAATATTCTATTGTATCAATATACCACATTTTGTTTATTCATTAATCACCTGATGGACATTTGGGTTGTTTACATATTATGGCTAATATGAATATGCTACAATGAACATTCGTGAACAATTTTTTGTGTAAACATACATTTTCACTTCTCTTGGTTATATACCTAAGGAGTAGAATTTCTGAGCCATATGGAAACTTTTGAGGAATTGCCAGACTGTTTTCCAAAGTGGCTGCACCATTTCACATGCCTACTAACAGTGAATGAGGGTTCCCTTGCCAACACTTGTTATTATGTCTTTTCAATGATAACCATTCTACTGAGTATGAAGTGGTACATCTCACTGTGGTTTTGATTTGCATTTCTCCGACAGCTAATGATGTTGAGCATCTTTTCATATACTTGATGATTTTCATATAACTGATGATTTGTATCTTTTTTTGAGAAATGTCTATTCAGACCCTTTGCCCATATTTCGAAATGGCTTGTTTTCTTTTATTATTGAGCTATAGGCATTCTCTATATTATCTAGATACATGTCCCTTATTAGTTACATGGTTTGCAAAAATGTCTGCCTCTCCCACACCCCAAAATTTCTCCCACTCTGTGGGTTCTCTTTTAATTTTCTTGCCGATGTCTTCTGAAGCACAAAAGCAGTCTAATTTAACTATTATTGATTGCTTGTGCTTTAAATGTCATGTCTATGAAACCGTTGTCACATCCAAGGTCACGATTTATCCTTAGGTTTTCTTCTAAGGGTTTAAGAGGTTTAGCTCTTACAGTTAAGTCTTTAATCCTTTTGAGTTAATTTTTGTATATGATGTGAGGTAGGAGACCCAATTTCTTCTGCATTTCTTTCCAATATCCATCCAGTGGTCCCAGCACTATTTGTTGAAAACACTATTGTTTCCCCAACTTGATGGTCTTGGTACCCACTGAAAATCAATTGATCATATGCATGAGGGTTTATTTCTGACTTCTCAATAGCATTCCACTGATCTATACGTCTATCCTTAGGCTAGTAGCACAGTATCTTGATTATTGCAGCTTTACATTAAGTTTTCAAATCAGGAAGTGTGTTTTCAAGATCATTTTTGCTATTCTGGATCCCTTGCATTTCCATATGAATTTTAGGATCGGCTAGTTCAGTTCTGCAAAGTCAGCTGGGATTTTCAATAGAGATTGTGTTGAATCTGCAGATTGGTCTGCAGATTAAGATGAGGAACATTACTATCTTAATATTAATCTTTCAATTCAAGGACATGGGATGGCTGTACATTTATTTAGGTCTTTTTTAATTTCTTTCAATGATGTTTTATATTTTCAGAGTATAAGTTATACATATCTTGTTCAATTTATTCCTAAGTATTTTAATCTTTTTGGTGCTACTGTAAATGAAACTGTAATTTCATTTTTGGTTTGTTGATTGCTACCATTTATTTATTTTGAAGCCAGTCAAATTTAGCAGTGAGGGGTTGTACACCAACTTTAGTGACACTAACATTAGTAAGTTCCACTACCATCAGAGTAGCCTACAATTTATTTTTAAATATTAATCTTGTATCCTGAAGCTTTTAATCCATTTATTAGTTTAGTGGTTTTTTAGTGGATTCTTTAGGTTTTTCTATATACAAGATCATGTCATCTGTGAATAGAGATAGTTTTACTTCTTCCTTTCTAATCGATGCCTTTCATTTTTTTGCCTAAGCACACTTAGCTAGAACCTCCAGTACAAAGCTGAATAGAAGTGGCAAAAGCACACATACTTGTCTTGTTCCTGATCTTAGTGCTGAGAAGCTTTCATTTGTTTTCATTAGGTATGATGTTAGCTGTCTTTTTTATTTTGGTAGATGCCCCTCACCTCTTTTTTTTTTTTTTTTTTGAGACAGTCTCACTCTGTTGCCCTGGCTAGAGTACAGTGGCATCATCATAGCTCATGACAACCTCAAACTTCTGGGCTCAAGAGATCCTCCTGCCTCAGATTCTCAAGTAGCTGGTACTCTAGGCACATGCCACCATACCCAGTTAATTTTTCTATTTTTTGTAGAGACAGGGTCTCCAACTCCTGGCCTCAAGTAATTCTCCTAACTCAGCCTCCCAGAGTGCTAGGATTACAGGTGTGAGCCACCGTGCCCGGCCTGTAGATGCCCTTTAAGAGGTTGAGGAAGTTTGCTTCTATGCCAGGTCTGTTGAGTGTTTTCATTATGAAGGAGTGTTGGATTTTGTCAAATGCTTTTTCTTCATCTAGTGAAATGATCATGTGGTTTTTGTCCTACATTCTATTGTTATGGTGTATTACATAAATTGATTTTCATATTAAACCAACCTTGCATAAAACCCATTTGGTAATGGTGATTAATCGTTCTCATATGTTGCCATATTCAGTTTGCTAGTATTTTGTTGAGGATTTATGCATCTATATTCATAAGAGATACTGGTCTATAATTTTGTTTTCTGTGGTATCTTTGATTTTGGTATCAGGGTAATACTGACCTCATAGAAATGAAATGGTAAGTATTCTCTCCTCTTATATTTTACAGAAGAGTCTAGAAACATTTGGTATTAATTCTTTAAACATTTGGTAGAATTCACCAGTGAAGCCATGTGGACCAGGGCTTTTCTTTGTGGGTAGTTTCATTACTAATTCAATCTCATTACTTATTATAGGTCTATTCAGATTTCCTATTTCTTGAGTCTGCTGCAGTAGTTTGTGTCTTTCTTGTAATTTGTCCATTTCATCTAGGTTATCTAATTTATTGGCATACACTGTTTATAGTATTCCCTTAGAGTCCTTTTTATCTTTGTAAGGTTCATTGTAATATATCTTCTTTCATTCCTGTTTTTAGTAATTTGAGCCTTTTCTCTTTTTTGGTCAGTGTGGCTAAAAGTTTGTCAGTTTTGTTGATCTTTTCAAACAACCAACTATGGTTTTATGGATTTTCTCTATTGTTTTTCTATTCTCTATTTCACCAATTTCCACTCTAATACTAGTATTTCCTTCCATCTGCTTGCTTTGAGCTTAGTTTGTTCTTTTTCCAATGATGTAAGGTAGAAGTTTAGGTGACTGAGAGTTTTTAACCACTTTGGTACGGCGCTCACCGGCCACAAAACCTTGCCCACAGCCAGCACTCATAGTCCGCACGAATAGTTTGTGCTGTGCATTGACAACGAATCCCTTTTGCTCTTGTGTGATGAGGAAAGCTTTAAAGCACTGAAAGCTTGTTTTACTTTACAGGCAGCTTTACTTGTAATGTAAATCAGAATAGGTAACATATACATACGTTTTTATTACGTTATTTTAAAATGTCCACAATGTTATTTTGATAAAAGAAAAATTAGAAAAGTCAAATCATGGCTGTCGGCTAAAGTTGACGTTCAGCTGTGCACCCTCGTATCGCGGCTGTTGGCTAAAGTCACTGAGCACGTTCACCTGTGGCTATTGACTATAGTCGTCGCTCAAACTGAAGTGGTTAAAACATAGGTATTTACAGCTATAAATTTCCAAGCATGCTGTAGCTGCATCCTGTAAATTTTGTATATTGTGTCTTCATTTTCATTTGTCTCAAAATATTTTCTAATTTCCTTTGTGATCTACTGTTTGACCTATTGGTTATTCAGAAGTATATTGCTTAATTTCCACATATTTATGAATTTCTCAAAGTTCTGTTTTTAATTTCTAACTTCACTTCATTGTGACTGAAGGATATACTTTGTACAGCTTTAAAACTTTTAAATTTATTGAGGCTTTTTTGTTATAGCCTTGTATACGGTCTATCATAGAGAATGTTCCATGTGCACTTGAGAAAAATGTGTATTCTGTACTTGTTGGCTACAGTATTCTACAGTTGTCTGTTAGTACCTGTTGGTGTATAGTGTTACCTCCGTCTTCTTTTTTCCTGTTGATCTGCTTAGTTCTATCCATTATTAGAAGTGGTATACCAAGATCTCCAACTACTATTGTTGAATTATTACTCCCACCAAATCTGTTAGGTTTTGCTTCATATATATTTTTGGCTCTGTTGTTGGATGAATATATGTTTATAACTATTATAACTTCTTGACAGATTCACCCTTTCATTATCACAAAATGTAGCTACTTATCTTTGATAACGATTTTGTTTTAAAGTCCCTAAGTACAGCCACTTCAGCTTTCTTGTGGATGCTATTTGCATGATACATCTCTTTCCATCCTTCACTTTCAACCTATTGTACGTTTTAATTGAAAGTGTGTCCCATGTAGGTTGCATGTGACTGGATCTTGTTTTTTTATCCAATATGACAATCTGTATTGAATGACTCGTGAAGTTCATTCACATTTTATGTTATTAAGTTGTATTTACTTTTGCCATTGCATTTTTTGTTTTCTATGTTTCATTTGATTTTCTTTTTTTAAGACTGATGAATTATGCAGGATTTTTGTTCCTCTGTTTCTCATTTAATGTTTATTTTGCATTAAGTGAATATTTTCTAGCATACCACTATAATTCTTTTAATAATTTCTTTTTTTTTCCTGAGACAGGGTCTCACTCTGTTGCCCGGGATAGAGTGCCAGGGTATTGGCCTAACTCATAGCAACCTCAAACTCCTGGGCTCAAGGGATTCTCCTGCCTCAGCCTCCAAAGTAGCTGGGACTACAGGCATGTGCCACCACATCTGGCTAATATTTCTATTTTTTGTAGAGATCAGGTCTCGCCCTTGCTTAGGCTGGTCTTGAACTTATGGCCTCAAGCAATCATCCTGCCTGAGGCACTGGGCCTGGATCTCAGTTTCATTTTTTGAAAGATAGTTTTGCAAGATGTAAGATTCTTGGTTGAGTATTTTTTCTTTCAGCAGTTTGAATATATTACCCCGTTGTCTTCCAGCCTCTGCGTTTTTTTTGTTTTTTTTTTTTTTGAGACAGAGTCTTGCTTTGTTGCCCAGGCTAGAGTGAGTGCCGTGGCATCAGCCTAGCTCACAGCAACCTCAAACTCCTGGGTTCAAGCCATCCTCCTGCCTCAGCCTCCCGAGTAACTGGGACTACAGGCATGTGCCACCATGCCCGGCTAATTTTTTCTATATGTATTAGTTGGCCAATTAATTTATTTCTAGTTATAGTAGAGATGGGGTCTCGCTCTTGCTCAGGCTGGTTTCGAACTCCTGACCTCGAACAATCTGCCCGCCTTAGCCTCCCAGAGTGCTAGGATTACAGGCGTGAGCCACCGTGCCCGGCCTGCTTTTTTATTATTATTATTTTGAGACAGAGTCTCACTCTGTTGCCCAGGCTAGAGTGCCATGGCATCAGCTTAGCTCACAGCAACTGTGAACTCTTGGGCTCAAGTGATCCTCCTGCCTCAGCCTCCAGAGTAGCTGGGATTCCAGGCTTGGGCCACCTTATCTGGCTAATTTTTTCTATTTTTAGTAGAGACAGGGTCTTGGTCTTGCTCAGGCTGATTTTGAGCTCCTGCCCTTAAGCAATCCTCCTGCCCTGGCCTCTCAGAGTGTGAGGATTACAGGCATGAGCCACTGCACCTTGCCTGGCCTCTTATTACCAATGAGAAGTCCGTTGTTCATCTAACTGGGATACCCATGGGCATGATGAGCCATTTTTCTCTTGCTACTTTCACCACTTTCTCTTTGTCTTTTAGGAATTTCATTATGATGTGCCTGGGTATAGGTCTCTTTGAATTTTCCTACTTGGATTCTTTGGGTTTCTTGGATATGTACATTAATGTTTTTCATTAAATCTGGGAAGTTTTCAGCACTTTTTGTCCTACTTTCTCTCTCTTATCTACTTCTGGTACTCCTATTATGCCTATCTTGGTGTGCTTAACAGTGTTCCACATTATTCTAAGGCTCTGTATATTTTTCTTTCTTCCCTCTGTTCTTTAGAATGTGTAATCCCTGTTGATCTATCTTTAAGTTTGCCAATTCTTTCTTCTGCCAGTTCAAATCTACTGTTGAGTCCTTCTAGTCAATTTTTCATTTCAATTGCAATACTATCCAACTCCAGAACTTCCATTTGGCTCTTTTTCATATTTCCTATCTTTTTCCTGTCATTCTCTGTTTGATGAGACATTATCATCATAGTGTCCTTTACTTCTTTAAGCATAGTTTAAGTTCTTTTGATCATATTCATAATGGCTGCTTTAAAGTCACTGTTAAATCTGATATCTGGGCCTTCTTATGGGCAATATCTATGGCCTGCTTTTTTTTGTGTATGGGTCATACTTTCCAGTTATTGTGTCTCATAATTTTTGTTAAAAACTGGATATTTTTGGTAATATATTGTAGCAACTCTGACTACTGATTCCCCTTCCTCCTTTCAGAGTTTGTTGTTGTTTGCTTATTTGTTTAATGACTTGGCTAAACTATTTTAGTAATGTCTATTTCCCCTACAGACTGGTGAAGCCTTTGATGATGTGCCTCAGAGTGCAGCCCTGGGCATGCACAGAATCTCCCTGAGATGACATTTAGCAGGACGCTCTTTGACTGGCTTTTTCCATGATCTGTTAAGCTTTTGGCCTCTTCTGGTATGATATCCAGTTGTCAGGCTCCACTACTTGCTGTCTGAATTCTCTTCTGTTTTGGACAATGCTCTGGGGCATAAACTGTTTCAAAGTTTAATTCATTTGAATTCAGGAAGGGGCAGTTTTTGAGACTGAGGTTTGTTCTGACTTCATTAGCTTTCTCTTTCCCTGGTTCTCTAGGGACCTAGCTGGCCTATGGTTTGGCTTGGCTTCTTAATTAAGAAGAGCTAGGGGTCTCCTTTTATTTGCTTACCATCAAAATCTCCACTGTTTTGGAGAATGCTCTTACTTTTGAACTTCTCCACACTCTGTTCTTACCAACTGCTTTTCCCCTTGGGCAAATTCTCTGAGCCGCTACTCTGAGGACAGTCACTAATCTCTAGTCTCTGGGCTTGCCTCTCCTGGTGCAGAACCTCTAATATACAAGTGAGCAGGGACAAGGGCAACTGGAGCCATAGTATTCTTGGCCTGAAGTATCTGGGATAGAGCTCTAGACTATGAGTATAGTATGGAGCTGGGTGGAAGAATGGAGCCTCTGACCTCTTTGCCATACTTACCAAGAACTTAGCCTCTTCAATTTGGAGTTGGAGGGGATGAGAAAAGTTGATAGTCTGCCTCTCTCAGTGAGATATCATATTCTTTGTTTGGAAGCTGAGAATTCCTGGGTTTGAATAATCTGACCCCATTCTGCTGGCCACTGTCAAATGCTTTAGGGGTGTATACCTGACCCAAGACCCAGAGTCCTTCACAAGGAACCTGGACCAGAGACTAGAGGTCTACTCATTTACTAGGCAGCCTACTGCCTAGTCCCATTACGGGGACCAGAAAAAGGCAAGGCACAGCAAGACAGAAGACCACTGTCCCTGAGACACAGGTGCCTCAGGTTCTACAACAAAGCCCTTCTCTCTGCAATCAGGTCCACTTTGAGGGAATTCAATCAGGTTTCCAGAACTAGCTATCAAAAGAGTCCTAATAGTCATTGTCTAGAATCACCTTGAGGAAAATTCTACTTTGAGCAAATCTCAAATGAATCCTTTTTGGAAAGGAGGTGAAGAATGGCCCCAGAGACCCAAGGAAAAGTTTCCTGTCACTGAAGGGACCCACCCCAAGTACCTTGATTGTGTTCTGACTCCTCATTGGCCACTCGCATCAGGGCATCTAGCACCAAAGCATTGTCTAACCACGTGTACCACTCCTCCAACTCCTGCAGGAAGCTGGCCGTGCCTGTTGTTTCTGACACCTTTCGAGTTGCCAGTTTGCAAAGCCGCTCGACAAAGCCAGGGATGCTGAGAAGGGCTGCTGCAAGGGAGAGAAAAAAAGAGAGAAAGTTTTTAAAACAGAGACAAGCAAAACCAGCTCTAAAGCCCTCAACAAACAATCTGCATGACTGGAATGATTCTTACTCTGATAGCAGCAGCTAGTTAGAGCTGTTCTTTCAAAATGAAATGACAAGGTAAAACGGTCAAGGTAAAACAGTAATAAAGTTATAGAAATAAGCTCAATTTTTAGCAGGTGCACGGAATAGGCTCCTTTTAAGCTATTGGTGATAATATAAATTGGAATAACTTTTATGCTTTAAATTTGCATGTCTTTGAGCCAATAGGTCCATTTCTAGGAATTTACCATAAGAAAATAACCAGTGATATATATATAAAGGTATCTGTATAAAGATTTTCACTGGTGTGGTTTCTATTCCAGCAGAAAGGTGGAGAGGATTAAATGTTCATCAATAGCAGATTAATTAAATACAATGATAAGTCCATACAATGAAATGTATGTAACACAGACACTAATGACAACAGACGCATCTTTATATAGTGACTCAACAAAGCTATTCAGATTTACTTGTCAGATAAAAAAATTATTAAATAGTATTAGTTTAAGCTCATTTTCTTCAAAAAGTTAAATATTTTTTCTTTAAAATATATAAAGAATGGAAGCATATATACCAAGGTATTTACTGTGGCTGTTCCTGAACAGGAGAGGATATAAATGCTCCTTTAAAACTTATCTATAGTTTCTGATTTTCTTGTAACATTTACTAGCAGGATAAAGATGATAAACAATGTTTTAAGGTAAAGAAAGAAACTGAACAATTATGCAATTCATATGTGCACCAATCCCATTTTACTCACAACAATGAGTAAGGTAGAAATTCTGATCAGCATACGACCATAATAAACTTTAAAGGCAAATTCAGGTTCTAATCCTGACTCCATCATTTAACCTTCTTTAATATGACTAATGCCTGTACATATTTTACTTATATATGCGTTAAGTCTCCCTGGAAGGATAGAAAAGAAACCAACAGCAGCGGTTACCAAAGGAAACAGCTAAAAGATGAAAACAGCTTAAATGTCCATTAACTGATAAATGAGTAAATAAACTGTGGTATATACATATGATGAATACCATTCAGCCATAAAAAGGAATGACGTACTGGTATCTACAACATGAATGAATCTCAAAAAGATTATGCCAAGTGGAAGAAACCAGATACAAAATCACATATAATTCCATTTACAGTCATGCACTGCATAATGATATTCTGGTCAACAATGGACCACATATAGCAGCAGGGTACTGAATCTTCCGGCCTTCAGATTCTTCATATGTGCAATGGGGATACTAATTTCTATCATAGACTGCCTGGAGGATTAAATAAAATCACTTCTAGGTAAAGCAATCAGCTCAGTGTCTGCACATAACAAGAACTTAACAAACGTTACCTTTTGTCAGTAAACATGTATGTAAATCAGCTTTGAGGTACAATTTAGTTATAAAGAAGTTCACATATATTTTTTTAAAATGTGTATTTTATGATTTACTAAAATGAGAACTCCCCAAAAGTCACAAGAAAGGGGGAGTGGGAAGAAAACCCTACACAGACCAAGGGAAGCCTTGTATCTATGGACAAGAGGAAAAGCAAACCTGAAGGGAGGTCCACAGAGTCCACAAACTTCTATCTTTATGTACGATGAAAGCATGTAAAATTATATTCCCTAATAACCTATAAGGTACAGTTATGACCACCTGGTGTTCATAACTATTATAAAGCTAGAGGTTCACAAGGTTAATGGAGGACTAATATTCAGTATTAGGAAGGGAGGCTGCTGTGTAGCACTTAGCAACTGCAGAGCTAGCCCTGGGAATGCACATAGCCAGCCAACTGGACTTCAGAAACAAAGTCATTGTTTGCAGAGCATCATCACAGCTACCTTGGGATGGTCATGGTTTTCCACTGCTGTTTTTTAATGATAAATTTTTGTTATTTTATTTGGTGTACCCTAAGGTACACACTGATATGTTTTTGTATCAACAATATTTCTAGCCTGTTAACATTCAAGAACTAGCTTTTAGGACACATAAATGTTTCAATTCAAATATGAATTACCTATACTCTGTGGCCAAAACAGTTTCCTTAAAATCTGCTCAGGCAAGGATACTTTATTGATAGAACAGAGATCTTTTGCTACTGTAAAGAAATATGTGGGGTATTTTGGTTAGAATAGTTTTTGTTTTTAAAGTAATTAATATACCCATACAGTTCTAAAAACCAAATAATTAAAGAAAGAAATTCCACTCCCACTACTGACACCTTCTACTATTCCCAGCCACTTCCTAACAGGTAATCACTTTTAGGTTTCTTGTGTGTCATTTCAATTTCTTTTTGCGTATCATATATGAGCAAACAAATGTATGGTCTTAATTTTTCCCCTCTGCCTTAACACAAAAAGTATCGTATTATAAACAATATTCTGCATTTTCCTTTTTATCATTGACATATCTTGGAGATTTTTCTATGCCAGTACACAGAGATCTTCTTTATTCTTTTTTTTTTTTAAAGCCACAAAGTTTTCTGTTACATAAATAGTCTCTTATTGATGAACGTTTGGGTTGTTTCTAGTCTTTTGTTATTACAAACAATGTTGCAATGAATAACCTTGTACAATAGTCCCCCATGTCTCATCTTTGGGGAATACATTCCAAGACCCCCAGTGGATGGCTGAAACTGCAGACAGTATTGAACTCCATGCATGCTATGTTTTTTCCTATACATACATATCTATGATAAAGTTGCATGTATAAATTAGGCACAGTTAGAGATTAACAACCACTACTAATAAAAATACAACAACTATAACAATATACTGTAATAAACATTATATGTTATAGTTTCTCTCTCTGGAATTTTCCATTTAATATTTTCAGACTGCAGTTGACTGCAGGTAAGTGAAATCATAGAAAATGAAACTGCAGATAAGGAGTGACTACTGTATATATACCTCAAATCTACTAAGCCCAGAAGAGGCTTAGTAGATCAAAGAGCATATAAGTTTGTAATTCTGATAAACAGCGGTTCTTTTTTGAGGTCCTAAGCCCATTCAAAAATCTGAAAAAAAGCTATGGAACTTGATCCTCTCAATAACGAACGGATATACAAAAATTTCACAAACTCTAAGTGGACTCTAGGAGCCTTCACATGAACTAATCTCTAGAGATACTGACCAGATGATTTAGGAAGGGTTTCAGAGCTACAACATCAAAATTCTGAAAACCTGGAGACTTTACCTTGGTTGATTTCAGCTGCAGAAGGTCCCAAGCTCAAGCTCTTCTTCTGCTGAGCGTTTTTGGCAAGAAGTGTGTGCTTGTCATCATTCCCTGTATCCATCTCTGAAATGGTGACAGCCAGGATCCGGCAGAAATTAGCAAGCTGCTGCTGATCGAAATTGGATACTAAAGTACTCAGATTGGGGACTTCATCTAGTCGGATCATTTCCTACAGGAAGACACAAATAAAACAATCCCCATGCTTGATTCACTAAAGACACTGGCTGTGCCTCTCTTTGGCATTCCCCCCAAAAGTGGGGGTTGGTAGCTGGACCACTTAGGTTCACAACCCAGCTCCACAATTTGAAGCTGTGCAACCTTAGGTAAGTTATGGAACCTTCCTAGTCTTTGCCTCTTTACCTGTAAAATGGGACTAACTTACTTCATAGGATTAGTCCAAGGATTAAATTTACTGTTTGAGCACCACTATTTTCACTCTTTACATTTGTTTTTGTGGTGCATTTTGCCTATTTAAAAAAGAAATGCCTACTCAAGTTTTATAAATCACAAATTACCATTCTTGCTACAGATTTTCTTCTTTTTAAGAACACTTCAAATATAGCTTAAGGCCTCTGTGTATCCTCCATCCAGTTACACTGCCCTTTCTCTCCCAGAGGTTTCTATTATTTTGAACTCTGTATTTATTATTCCCATGCATGTTTTTATACCTATAAGTATTTCCATTAAAATACATGGTATTGCTCTGCATGCACAGTGTGAATAATATCATACTACAATTTACTTTTGACTCAACATTTTGAGTTTTATCTACACTGATACAAGCAGCTCTGGTAAATAAAAAAAAAATGGCTGTTTTACCCCACAAGTTAATCATTCTTCTTTTAATATGTATTTAGGTAAACTACCACTTTTCACTATTTAACAGTGTTGCAATGAACATTCCTATAGGTGTGCCTTGTGTACATGTACATGTGACCATTTATCTTAAGTGAGAGCAGGAATTCTTATCTTTTTCTTGACTTTAAAAAAATAGTTCCAAAATTTCAAAATTTAGTATTTATTGTAAGTTTTAATAGATACCCTATAACAAGTTAAGGAATTTTTCTTCTATTCTTAGCTTTTATTATGAATGAGAATTGAATTTTATAGGAATGAGAAGGAGTAAGAGGGCAGGAGGGGGCAGGTGGGAAAAGCTGTGAAAGAGAATCCTAGAGTCTGATGCTGAGACTGTCAGGGAATCTTAATTTTCCACCCTGGAGGCCCCCATCTCACACATTGGCTGGAGCCCACAATTATTGGAAAAATAACAAAGCCTTTTCATCAAGGGGCACAAAGGGTCTGTCTGAGCCCGCACACATCTCCAACGTGTTCCTACAGACAATGGGCCACTTGTGCTCCTTCTGCCTGGGCAATGACAAGCAAGTCCTAGGGAAAGTGCAGCAGAAGGACAGAAATGAAATTCAGGGCCACTGCAGTGTATAGGGGGACCCTCTTCTCTGCAACAGCAACCTCTAGGTGGCTGCTCAGTAACAAGAGGAAGAAATCTGCGAACCAGCAGCCTAAATGGAGGCTTAGGACAGTTAAGGACTAGGGAAATAACTCCAGGCTCTCATAAGCATTACAACAAAAATCTAACATAGTGAGTCTCTAACAGAGAGGTTCATGGATATATTTTGGGGGCCTATGAGGCCTTAATGAGAGATTTTTTTAACTTAGTGTTTTCATTTCATCTCAATCATAGTTTGTTCTTTTTTTTTAAACTATGGGCCATTTCAATGTCCACCTTATGACCAAGTGGCAGGATTTCAGTGCTCACATTTGTGTCTCCTACTGTGTTGGTGCTAATTAAACCAACTTTACTTGTTGAAGACCAATGATAAAAATAGAGGTGGACTTAATAAGCGAAGACCAAACACTACCAACCAAGGGGAGCATATCCTAATGAATGAAGGTTTCACAATGGTTCAAATACAGAAAAAACGGTAGGAGAATGGAGTCATCACACAGCACACAATGGTATAGATATGCTAAAAAGAACTTGCCCCATAATGATTAGCAAGAAGAACTTTGATTCCAGCAAAGTAACATCAACCATCACATTAAATTCATGACATCAACCTGAAGTTTTGAGTTCTATAATTAGTTTGATTTCAATTTATATATTTATGTTTTATAGTCATATAAAACCCATTAGTATAAAGAGTATAATCTAATTTTTGGCTGCATGCAGTGGCTTATGCCTGTGATACCAGCACTTTGGGAGGCCAAGGTGGGAGGATCTCTTGAGGCCAAGAGTTTGAGACCAGACTTGGTAACACAATGAAAACCCCATCTCTATAAATAAATAAATAAATAAAAATAAAAAAAATAAAGAATATAATCTAGTTTTATACTTATCTAAGTAACAAAAAAATAATTTAACACTAGGAATCTGGAAGAATTTCTTTTGCAAGAGCTCTCTACATTATTCAGGTTTGAGAAATCACTGGTCTGAGACACCCTCCCTGGTCTTCTCAGCCACCTGTTAGGGGACACAGCTCACCTTTTTAACACCCAAAATATCTTCAATGAGAGTTGCTGTTTGTAAGAATGTCTTCTTACTTGTCATCAGAGTAAATAGGAAGATCACAAAGTCATTCTTTTCGGCCAAACGCTTTGTAACTCCTTCCGTCTGCCACAAGAGAGAAAAAGGTAGAATAGGTTAAATCACAAAATAAAATATGAAGAGCAAGGCATCCCTTCCAGACACTAAAAAAGCAATCCAACCTTTGAAAACTGGCACAAGCCAACAAAACTGGGATGCCATTAGTTAACTGTGGGAAATATCTGTGAACTCCCAGCCACGGAACAAAAGCCTCCAAACACCCAGGCTACACAACTGGGAGTCCATTTTGGAGCTGAGAATGACAGAAAAGCAGGAGGCAGTGGCCTCAGTTGGCTTGTAAAAATCTAAACCCCAACTGTCTCCATTTAGAAAACAAAACAGAAGGTGGTGACTAATGTGGGTGATTCCACTTAGAATTCTATCAACGTGAGAACATAAGAAAATAAGACAGTGGTTCCTGAGAGGGCTTATAAAGGGGTTCTAAAGGCCATTCTTAAATGTGAAATCTAACAGTGTTTGAAGCATGGACTTAAGAGTCAGATCTAAGTTCCAATTCCAGCTGTGTGATCCTGAACAAATCACTTCTCACCTTACTTCCTCTATTTCTTCACCAGTAAAGTAGGTATCTCAAAAGTCTTTGAAAGGATTCAATTAGATGATGTGTGTAAACATAAACATTGCCAAGTAAGTTTCTTACTTAGCCTATATTCCATAGCCAAAGTGATCTTCTTGGAGTAATCAAAAAACTTCAAGCCTCCTTTGCTATTCAATTAAATCCTACTCTTCTGCCTGATATTCAAAAATCCTTCAAATAGGCACAGGTATCTATCAGGGATAATCTCCCTGAAACTTACCTTAGGCTGGGGTCAGGCTGAATGACTTGCTGTTAACACCCATGCGCACAGGGTGTTATTTCTACCACTTTGTTCTTCCCTTTGGGAATACCTTCACCAACTCCAAACCTCTTTGTTAAAATCCTACATGCTGAATGTTTTAACCCAGTACCATTTATTAATAGACTACAGAAACAATGTAAATGTCTGCCAATGTGGAAAAGATAAATCAAGTATGTTATCCTCACACTATAGAATATACTATTAGAAAGATGCTGCATGGTGGCTCACACCTCGCAGCACTTTGGGAGGTGGAGGCAGGAGGATGACTTGAGACCAAGAGTTCAAGACCAGACTGGGCTACATAGTGAGACCTCATCTCTACAAAAAAATAAATTAGCCTGGCATGGTTGTGTGTGCCTGAAGTCCCAGCTACTGGGGTGGCTGAGGCAGGAAGGCTGCTGGAGGTTACAGTGAGGCCACTGCACTTCAGCCTGGGCAATAGAGTGAGACTATCTAAAAAAAAAAAAAAAAAGGCACAGTGCCGCCTTTAAAAAAAAAAAACTTATTTTAAGAAAAAAAAAAAAAAAAGGCACAGTGGCTCTTGCTTGTAATCCCAGCACTTTGGGAGGCCAAGGCAGGAGGATTACTTGAGGCCACGAGTTCAACACCAGCCTGCACAAAGACCCCATCTCTATAAAAAGAAGAAGAAAAAGAAAAGAAAAAATGATATAGCTAAATCTTTATGATTTTTGTAGAATAAAAAAGCTGGCCACAAAATGGTGCTTGTATACATGCCAACATACAGAAAGAAGTCTGAAATTATTTGTAACAAATTGGTCAGAGTTGTTTAATCTGGTTATTGGGATGATAACTGATTATACTCTGTATTTATCTTATCTACAGTGGCTATTTTTTCAGCCCAAAACTCGCTTTGTTATTTATGAAACAAATAAATATCAAAGATAGGAATAGGCAAGCCTACCAGGCCTTCAGCATGCCACCTCCTACATGAAGTTTTTCCTGACCTACCCCAGCTCACAGCAACTTCAACATACCCACTCCTCTTCCTCTGAAGCCTCAAAGCACCTGGTCTGCACCTCTCCAGATCCTTTGCCATGTCCCCCAATCTCAGCCCATTAACTGTGAACTATCCAAGGCCAGGCCTATGTCTTATTCACCTGTGTCCCTGGTATCTAGCAGTAGGCCTGAAACATGGTGAGTATTTATCAAAGGTTTGCTGAAAGACTGGAATAAAAAACAAGGTGTGTGAGGGAAGTAAGGGAACCAGGAGATGAAAGATTTCAAAAGTTAGGTTCAATTTTTAAATGTTTTCAACACAAAGAAATGATAAATGTTTGAGATGATGGACATGCTCATTATCTTGATCTAATCACCATATATAGACTATCCACAGTATATGTATCAAAACATCACTGTTTACCCAATAAATATGTTCAATAGCTACATGTCAATTAAAAGTAAATCTTAGGCCGGGCGCTGTGGCTCACGCCTGTAATCCTAGCTCTTGGGAGGCCGAGGCGGGCGGATTGCTCAAGGTCAGGAGTTCGAAACCAGCCTGAGCAAGAGCGAGACCCGTCTTACTATAAATAGAAAGAAATTAATTGGCCAACTGATATATATATAAAAAATTAGCCGGGCATGGTGGCGCATGCCTGTAGTCCCAGCTACTCGGGAGGCTGAGGCAGGAGGATCACTGACCAGGAGTTTGAGGTTGCTGTGAGCTAGGCTGACGCTATGGCACTCACTCTAGCCTGGGCAACAAAGTGAGACTCTGTCTCAAAAAAAAAAAAAAAGTATCTTGGCCGGCGTGGTGGCTCACACCTGTAATTCTAGCCATTCTGGGAGCCGAGGCGGGTGGATTCTTCGAGGTCAGGAGTTCAAAACAGCCTGAGCAAGGCGAGACCCCGTCTCTACTATAAAAATGGAAAGAAATTAATTGGCCAACTAAAAATATATACAAAAATTAGCTGGGCATGGTGGTGCATGCCTGTAGTCCCAGCTACTCGGGAGGCTGAGGCAGGAGGATCGCTTGAGCCCAGGAGTTTGAGGTTGCTGTGAGCTAGGCTGACACCACGGCACTCACTCTAGCCTCGGCAACAAAATGAGACTGTCTCCAAAAAAAAAAAAAAAAAAAAAGTAAATCTTAAAAAATGAATTGAAAAAGTGTGGACTTAAAACTACTGTATTACGAGCTTAAACACAGAGACATACACACCCACACCTACTTTAAGGCAATTACAGCTTAGTGGCTTTAATATTTCTTTCTTTATTCTTTTCAGCCTCTATGTTGAAAAAATTACTAAAGGCAGACTACAACAAACATGACTACTTTTTTTTTTTTGAGACAGAGTCTCACTTTGTTGCCCAGGCTAGAGTGAGTGCCGTGGTGTCAGCCTAGCTCACAGCAACTTCAATCTCCTGGGCTCAAGTGATCCTACTGCCTCAGCCTCCTGAGTAGCTGGGACTATGAGCATGCGCCACCATGCCCAGCTAATTTTTTTAATATATTTTTAGCTGGTCAATTAATTTCTATTTTTGGAAGAGATGGGGTCTCGCTCAGGCTGGTTTCGAACTCCTGACCTCGAGCAATCTGCCCGCCTTGGCCTCCCAGAGTGCTAGGATTACAGGCATGAGCCACCACTCCCGGTCACAACTTCTTTTTAAAGAATATAATTAAGTATGCAGACAAATACAGTCTGGGAAATGGGAACTTCAAGCTAGGAAGCATTTTACAATTGGTGGGATGAGATGTGTCAATAAAAATGCTCTGAGTATATAAATCTGCAAGGATCACATTAAGTAGCACATTAAAGAGCAATCTCTGATTCTGTATTAATTAATGTTACATTTCTGTTCTCCAGTTAGAGCACTGGCATGTCAGGGGAAAAAAGCTTTTATTTTCCAGACAAATACAGTATCTACACTGCCATAAGATATGAAATAGGACTGATTCTAGCTTACTTAGATAAGCAAAAGTTCTGGAATATCAAAAAAAAAAAAAAAAAAAAAACAGAAAAGAGAAATAAATTTACTATTTTCTGAAACCTTAAAAATATCACTAAGCTGTCTAATACACAATCCTATTGCCCTAATTAGCCACCCTTGACTACCCACCTTTCTCCTGTCTTCAATTTATCTATATTCTACTCCTTTTAGAGACTGGCTAACATGCCTCTTCCTCTGAAAAGCTTTCCAAATCAGGATTAACCACCCAAAAAGCCATACACAATCCTTCTTTTCCTCTCCATGGCGAATTCTTAAATCTCTAACATGATATACAAAACACTGCACAAATGGATTTTTCTGGGGAAGGTTTTTTTTTTTTAAAATGATATTCATCATAGGTTCTTGACCAAGTATCTGTTTAGCATCTAAATAAGGAGTTAGTGGCAAATTAGCCTCCATTAGACCAAGTTTTATCTAGCTAGCCAGTTTTATCTAGCTAGTACTTTTTAAAAATTTTAATTCAACCATCTTTAGACAGGACATACTTGCTCCAGACTAATCACAATTTATACAACTCCCCATATAACATGGGCAATTTCAAACATTTTCTGTTTTTTGCCTGATCTCTGGAGGCATTGGTGTGTACCTCTAAGAGCCCCAGATTCTCTGTCTAATCAGGAATTAAGCCAGATCAGCACAGAGTTGGATCATATCATCCTATGTTCTTTACTTTAAAAAAAAAAAAAAAACTGGCCGGGCGCGGTGGCTCACGCCTGTAATCCTAGCTCTCTGGGGGCCGAGGCGGGCGGATTGCCGAGGTCAGGAGTCGAAACCAGCCTGAGCAAGAGCGAGACCCGCTCTACTATAAATAGAAAGAAATAATGGTCAACTAATAATTATACAAAAATTAGCCGGGCATGTGGCGAATGCCTGTAGTCCCAGCTACTGGGAGGCTGAGGCAGCAGGATTGCTTGAGCCCAGGAGTTTGAGGTTGCTGTGAGCTAGGCTGACGCCACAGCACTCACTCTAGCCTGGGCAACAAAGCGAGACTCTGTCTCAGAAAAAAAAAAAAAAAAAAAAAAAATTGAATTGTGTTTTACTGGAATGTCACTGATTAATATTAGGTGTCATGATTTTAAAATAGCCTTACAAAACTAATGACTCTATGGAAGTTGCCAATGATGGAGTCATTACATCATACACTGTCTTTTTTTTTTTTTTTGAGACAGAGTCTCACTTTGTTGCCCAGGCTAGAGTGAGTGCCATGGCGTCAGCCTAGCTCACAGCAACCTCAAACTCCTGGGCTAACAAATCCTACTGCCTCAGCCTCCCAGTAGCTGGGACTACAGGCACGTGCCACCATGCCCGGCTAATATATATATTATATATATTAGTTGGCCAATTAATTTCTTTCTATTTTTATAGTAGAGACGGGGTCTCGCTCAGGCTGGTTTTGAACTCCTGACCTTGAGCAATCCGCCCGCCTCGGCCTCCCAGAGTGCTAGGATTACAAGCGTGAGCCACTGCGCCCGGCCTGTCTTTTTTTTTTAATCAGGACAATCTCTTATTGGCTTAAGTTGCAAGGATGAAACATGGCTAGTCCAAACTGAGATGTGTTCTGGGTGTTAAAACAACAACAACAACAACATGCTATTTTAAAAACTTAGTACAAAAAAGGAGTGTAAATATCTCATTAATAATTATATTGTAGCCTGAACAAGAGTGAGACCCCACTTCTACAAAAAACAGAAAAATTAGCAGGGTGTGGCGGTGCTCGCCTGTAGTCCCAGCTACTCAAGAGGCTGAGGCAGGAGGATTGCTGGAGCCCAGGAGTTTGAGGTTGCTGTGAGCTACAATAATGCCAATGTACTCTAGTCTGGGTGACTGACCGAAACTGTCTTAAAAAAAAAAAATGTTTCCATGTTGGAATATTTTGATGTACCATGTTAAATAAAATATATCATTAAAATCAACTTCACCTATTTCTTCCTACTTTTTTTTAACTGTAAAAAAATACAGCAATGGCCGGGTGCTGTGGCTCACGCCTGTAATCCTAGCTCTTGGGAGGCCGAGGCGGGCGGATTGCTCAAGGTCAGGAGTTCAAAACCAGCCTGAGCAAGAGCGAGACCCCGTCTCCACTATAAACAGAAAGAAATTAATTGGCCAACTGATATATATATATAAAAAATTAGCCGGGCATAGTGGCACATGCCTGTAGTCCCAGCTACTCGGGAGGCTGAGGCAGAAGGATCACTCGAGCCCAGGAGTTTGAGGTTGCTGTGAGCTAGGCTGACGCCACGGCACTCACTCTAGCCTGGACAACAAAGTGAGACTCTGTCTCAAAAAAAAAAAAAAAAAAAAATACAGCAACAAGGACATTTAAAATAACCCAAGTAGCTCGCACTGTATTTCTATTGCACAGCACTATCACAGATGCCAAACTGTGTAAGTGTTCAAACCTATTTCCCTATTTGTGTTGGCTGCTAAAAAGCTTAAACCCAAATTTGTGCCCCATCCATAATACAGATGATTTAATGGTCTATATTTTTATATCAGCCCCAATTTCCTGGCTGTATGTTTGTTCCCACCCTTATCTTATTCTTTTCTTTCTTATCTACTTCTAAGTTTGTGATCTTGGTAGATTTTATATACTCCCACAAGATGCCTAAAATCTTTTCTTTGAATGAGGCAAGCAATGAAATGGAGTTAATTGTTCCTTTTGTATTTCCACAGCATATGGTTTTCATTTCTATAATAGCATTTGTCTTTGCATAGTGACTTTCGGGTGGAAGAAAAAAATATATAATAGCACTTGTCTCATTCTGCCATGTATTATGATTCACTGTTCACAGTTTTCCACACCATAAGCTCCTGAAAGACAGGTATTGTAGCTTATAAAAACTAACATTTATATATCGCTTTACAAAGTGCTTTCACATCGATTATCTCATTTAGTTCTCACAATAACCTAATGATGTTAATATGATTATTAACCGCACTCTACTGATAAGAAACTAATGCTCAGGGAGGTGTACTAAGCCAAGGGTCAGAACACAAAATCAAGTTCTAACACTAAACACTATGCTCTTTTCTTTCTACCGAATTGCTTCCTTTATTCACCATTTTCCCAGCTCAGTGATCAATCTAGTAAAGTGTCCTGCTTAATATATGGGTGGGGCTTGTGGTTCTTGTTGTTTCCTAACAAGGAAAACAAAGGAATAGGCATAACAGAGTTAAAAGGAGTTTTAAGGTTGTAAACACTCTGTCAATGCTGTTCACCTTTTGACAAGCAATTGTACAGTTTCTGTGTGGACACATCCAGGAACAATGGAGTTCAGTAACTGCTGAAGCAGCCCTGGCTCTTAACAAAATTCTGCCTCCACATAATTTCTATCAGTTGGTCCTGATTCTCAGACACACATAAAAAAAGTCCAATTCCCCCAATATCTGAAGATGGACAGCTCTCATGTCTGCCACCCCCACTCAAATCTTCCCTTCTCAACCACTGCAGATATGATAGGGAGACAGATGGAGTCCTAGAGGTACTTACACAGACACAGGTGTTATACAGGATGCTTAAGCAGTCCTTGGACATTTCATCACTTACTGAAAGTGAAAGGGGAATAACTGGTTATTCTTTTCATCGAAAAGATATTCTGACAGTATTACAGTTTTTCAACATAAGTACTGTTACAATACCCTTCAAGATGGTTATTTTCCTGTTTGCATACCTCCTTCCAGTCCTTGTCTACCAAAGATCTTCACAGTGCCCATCAGAACCTACAAACCAATTTGCTTATCACTTTTTGGTTTGATACAGTAGCCACTTTCTTATTATGCTCCACAGTCTTCATAATTTCAACATGTTGTGATGCCATCATTTAATAAAGCCATTTTCTCTTGTGTCTTGCTTAGGATATATCATGGGTTTGGGGAGTTTTGCTATTTAAATGGACTACAAATAAGCGACTTAATACATATGTATAGTCTTTTTATACTTTTATTAAACTGGTTCCTCAAGATACATTTTCAAAAGCAGAACTACTAGAATCCAAAGTATAAGCATCTTAATTGCTCATTAGAAATTTCCATTGAAAGGTCTACTAGCAGCAAACAAAGATGCCATGTTTATTAATACTACAGATCACCAACTGATTGTTATGTTTAGTTTTTGTTGTTGTTGTTATTTGTGTTGGGTAAAAGGCTTTCAATGCCTGACCTACTAATTCCAAGAAAGCATTCACTATTTCCCTGTGAGCAAGAACACGAGAGTAGCAAAGGAAGGAAACTTAATTTTCATGATCCCCAAACCAGAAGATGATGAAACTGAGTATGAACCATGAACAAAGTGTTTTGTTTGGGACTGCTTCATTTTTCAAGAACTGTTTTCATGCACCCTTATTCAGCCATAAATGCCAAAATGCTAGGTCTCCCTTTGGGATCCCAACGGGTAGCCCTTCCAAGCTAGCTTGACTGAGCTGCCTCATATGATCCTGAGACAATGTTGATGTACTGCATCCCTCATCCCTACCTTTCAGCCTACTGGAGCTCTTTGGTTTGTTTATTTAACAACCTGAGAGCAGAGTGAAACACCAGATTACCAGATTGGTATATCTATTTCTAGATGTTCCATTTTCAAAAGAAATTGGGATTCACTCATTCATCAAGTATTTACTTATTCTACTCTAGAGCAGATGGGGGAAAAAAAGCAAGCAAGCAAGCAAGTCTCAGCCCTCATGCAACCTATAAATCTAGTGGAGGGAAGAGAGAATAAACGTGCACGAACATTATAAGATGCTACTTGCTGGAAGAGCAGATAAGGAACATGAAGGAATAATTTAGACACAGTACAAAGCTGATGCATTAAGGATGAATATGAATCCTCTTAACCACAACTGCACACACAAATGAGACCTTATACGCTATGTCCCATTGATGTTAGGGGCAAAAATTTTTTTAATTAAAAAAAAATATGCAATGTTTATAGAAGGGCATTCATCAAATGTTAACTGAAGTGATCTCTGGTTTTGAATGCCAGAGTAAAGTGCACTCACTCTTTTTTTTTTTTTTTTTTTTGAGACAGAGTCTCGCTTTGTTGCCCAGGCTAGAGTGAGTGCCATGGCGTCAGCCTAGCTCACAGCAACCTCAAACTCCTAGGCTCAAGCAATCCTACTGCCTCAGCCTCCTGAGTAGCTGGTACTACAGGCATGCGCCACCATGCCCAGCTAATTTTTTCTCTATATATTAGTTGGCCAATTAATTTCTTTCTATTTATAGTAGAGACAGGGGTCTTGCTCTTGCTTAGGCTGGTTTTGAACTCCTGAACTCGAGCAATCCGCCCGCCTCGGCCTCCCAGAGTGCTAGGATTACAGGCGTGAGCCACCGCACCTGGCCACACTCACTGTTTTTTAAAAATTAAATATTGAGGCTGGGCACAATGGCTCATGCTTGTAATCCCAGCACTTTGAGAGGCCCAGACAAGAGGACTGCTTGAGGCTAGGAGTCTCAGACTAGCCTGGGCAACATAGTGAGACCCTGTCCCTACAAAAAATTTAAAAATTATCTGGGTGTGGTGGTATGCACCTGTAGTCCTAGCTATTTGGGAGGATCAGGTGGGAGGACTGTTTGACCCCAGAAGTTTGAGGCTGCAGTGTAAGCTATGGATAGAGCCACTGTACTCCAAACTAAGTGATCTTAAAGGTTATTCCTTACTTTCTCAGCTAGCTATTTATGAGAAGAATTTCCAAAGAAAACATAAAAGCTGGAGCAAAAGACTATCAGAAAGTACAAAGATGAAATTCTGGCCAGGCGCAGTGGCTCATGCCGGTAAATCCTAGCACTCTAGGAGGCTGAGATGGGAGAATCACTTGAACTCAGGAGTTAGAGACCAGCCTAAGCAAGAGTGAGACTCCGTTTCTACTAAAAACAGAAAAATCAGCTGGGCACAATGTCATGCACCTGTAGTCCCAGCTACTTGGGAGGCTGAGGCAGGAGGATTGCTTGATCCTAGGAGTTTGAGGTTGCAGTGAGCTATGATGACACCATTGCACTCTACCTGGGGCACCAGAGTGATACTCTGTCTCAAAAAAAAAAAAAAAGACGCAATTCTTTTAGTCCAATGGTTTTCATGCTTTATCTTTTAAACCACCAGATCTGAATTTCTACCCAGTATAAAATGAATAAAGAGAGATCTTTAGTAGAGATAGAGAGAACAATTTGCAGTTGAATGTAAGGCATGTCCTCACCGTCAAGAGTTAGGAAGAGAAAGAAGAAAGCACTTCTGGAGACTGCCACCATATCAGTAGACTGAGACATAAGGACCAGTGGCTGACAAGTATACTTACTTTTCAGTTTCTGTCCCCGGATAGAGATTGTAGGCCTCATAAGTATTTCTACAAGGAGCTATAAAAACAAAAAACAAAAAACAAAAAAAAGGACAAAGTCTTCAAAATTCAACGCATAACTTATAAAACAATCTTTGCCATGACAACTCATGGCCCAAATATCTGTAACAGTATTGGAAGACCCTGTTGTTCTGGGAGGCAGTGAGGTTCAATGGAAGAAACACTGTAGTAAATGTCAGGAAACCTGTGTTCTAGTCCCAGCCCAGCCACCTATCCACCATGTAAACTTGGGCAAGTCAATGCCCCTTCTTGGGACTGAGATTTCTCATTTTTAAAAATAAGTATGTTAGATTAGGTAATCTCTGGGATCCAATGTGGCTTTAATTTTTGAAAAGCTACAGATTATTACTACTACAACTCTTCTTTTTTAGCTGAAAGAACATTTATGAATGTAAGTTTATTAAAAAGGTCCTGAAAATATACCACAAATTATTAACACTGATTTCTATAGCGATTGGGGGTGATATGCACAGATTTTTTTATTTTACATGCTTTTAATACAACATACAATTTTGCTTAAACTGTTTTTAAAAAGGATGTATTTAAAATCCATTCTGTCGAAAGAAAGGACAATTTATAATGATAAAAGAAAAGGTCAATCCATCAGGAAGATATACATATATGTACCTAACAACAACGTCCAAAAATACATGAAGCAAAAGCTGACAGAACTTTAAGGATAGACAATTCAAAAATAATAGTTGGACACTTTTATACCATGCTTTCAATAATGGATAGATAAGTAGGCAGATGAACAAAAAAATAGAACACTTGAGTACAATAAACCAACTAGACCTAACAGACATCTGTAGAACACCTCATGCAGCAAGAACATAAAACACACCCTACTCAAGCGCACATAGATCATTTTCCAGGATGGATTATATGTCAAGCCACTAACCAAGCCTCAATAAACTTAAAAAGGCTGAAATAATACAAAGTATGTTCTCTGTCCACAATGGAATGAAATTAGAATCAGAAAGAAATGTAGGAAAATTCATGAATACACAAATAATTTAAAAACAAGTATAAAACTTGTACAATAAAAACAAAACATTTTTGAAAGCAATTAAAGGCAACTTTAAAAAATGGAAAGATATCTTGTGATTTGTGGATCAGAAGAATACTGGTAAGAAGGCAATACTCCCCAAATTGACCTACAGATTCAATGCACTACAAAATCCCAGGTGGCCTCTTATCAGAAAATGACAAACTTATCCTGAAATTCATATGCAAATGTAAGGGATGCTTAATAGCCAAAATCTTGAACTTCTAGTACAGAAATAAACCCATGTTTCTATGGTCAATTGATTTTTGACAAGGGTGCCGACACACTTCAATGGTGAAAGCAGTGTTTTCAATAAATGGTGCTATGACAACTGGATAGTCACGTGCAATGAAAGATAGTGAACCCCTACCCTCATATGGTAAAATGATCTCAAAGGGATCAGAGATCTAAATATAAGAGATAAAACTATAAAACTCTTAGGAGAACACATGGTCAATCTTTGTGACCTTGAATTAGGCAATGATTTCTTAGATATACACCAAAACCCAAGCAACAAGAGAAAAAAATTAGATAAACTAAACATCAAAATTTAAAACTTCTGTGCTACAAAGGACACCATCAAGAGCATGAAAAGACAGCCACTGAATGGCAGAAAATATTTGTAAATCATGTAAAAGGAAACAGTAGCCTGAAATAACTAATAGAATTCAATAATAAAAAGATAACCCAATCAAGAAACAGGCAAAGCAAGTGAACAGGCATTTCCCCAAAAAGCCAATAAACACATACAAAGATGGTCAACACCATAAACCACTGGGGAAATGCAATGCAAAAATCATGAGATACCTCTTCATATCCACTAGGATGGCTATAATAGAAAAGATAATAACTACTAGCCAGGATGTGGAGAAATTGGCACCTTCATAAATTGCTCATAGATATATAAAATGGTACAGCTGCTTTGGAAAGCAGTCAGGTAGGTCCTCAAAAGTTAAACATGGAATTACTGGGTCATAGTAACTGGTTACCAGTTACACTATGACCCAATAACTCCACTCCCAAGTATATACCAAGAAAAATTTTTTAAAAGATAATTGAAGCCAGACACGGTGGCACACACCTGTAGTTCAGCTACTCAGGAGAATCACTTGAGCCCAGGAGTTCTGGGCTGTAGTGCACTATGCCAATCAAGTGTCTGCACTAAGTTCAGCATCAATATGGTGACCTCTTGAGAGCAGGGGACCACCAGGTTGCCTAAGGAAGGGTGAACTGGCCCAGGTCAGAAATGGAGCAGTCAAAACTCCCGTGCTGATCTGTAGCGGGATCGCATCTGTGAATAGCCACTGCACTCCAGCCTGGGCAACATAGCGAGACCACGTCTCTTTAAAAAAAAAAAAAAAGACAATTGAAATAGAAAATGAAAATATATATCCACATAAAAACTTGTATCCCAATGTTCAAAGCAGCATTATTTTTTATTTATTTATTTTTTTTGAGACAGAGTCTCACTCGGTTGCCTGTGCTAGAGTGCCGTGGCGTCAGCATAGCTCACAGTAACCTCAAACTCCTGGGCTCAAGCAATCCTGCTGCCTCAGCCTCCTGAGTAGCTGGGACTACAGGCATGAGCCACCATGCCTAGCTAATTCTTTTCTATATCTTTTTAGTTGGTCAATTAATTTCTTTCTATTTTTAGTAGAGATGGGGTCTCGCTCTTGCTCAGGCTAGTTTCGAACTCCTGACCTTGAGCGATCCACCTGCCTCAGCCTCCCAGAGTGCTAGGATTAAGGCAAGCCACTGCACCTGGCCAATCCAAATGTCCATCAACTGATGAACATATTTTGGATTGTTTCCACTTTAGGTTATTAGTAATACTGCTGTGATTAATGCTGCTGCTATGGGCCGGGCATGGTGGCTCATGCCTGTAATCCTACCTTTCTGGGAGGCCAAGGTGGGAGGATCGCTCAAGGTCAGGAGTTCGAAACCAGACTGAGCAAGAGCGAGACCCCATCTCTACTAAAAATAGAAAGAAATCAATTGGCCAACTAAAAAGATACAGAAAAAAATTAGCCGGGCATGGTGGCGCATGCCTGTAGTCCCAGCTACTCGGGAGGCTGAGGCAGAAGGATTGCTTGAGCCTAGGAATTTGAGGTTGCTGTGAGCTAGGCTGCCGCCACGGCACTCTAGCCCGGGCAACAGAGTGAGACTCTGTCTCAATAAAAGAAAGGAATGAAGTACTGATACGTGCTACAACATGGATTAACCTTAAAAACATTATGTTAAGCAAAGCAGCCAGTCACAAAAGACCATGTATTATATGACTCCATTTATATGGAATGTCCAGAATAGGTAAATCTACAGAAATAGAAAGTAGATTAATGGTTGCCCAAGGAAGGGGGACTTGGGAGGAAATGACTACTAAAAGATACAGTGTTTCTTTTTTGAAGCAATGAAAATGTTTTAAGATTAACTGTGGTGATAGTTGCATAACTCTGAATATACTAAAACCCACTAAACTGTATGCTTTCAATGCGTGACCTGTATGACATGTGAATTATATTTCAATAAAGCTATTATTTAAAAGACTAACAACCACCACCTCATGCTAAGAAACCAGGCATAAAAAGCCACATAGTGTATGATTTTGTTGATATGAAATAACCACAATAGGCAAATCCAGAGAGACAGAAAACAGATTAGTGATTGCCAGGGCTGGAGGGAAGGGAGAATGGGGAGTGACTGCTAATTGGTATGGGATTTCTTTTTGGCAAGATGAAAATGTTCTGGTAATCACTGAACAACAAAAATATTGAAGTGTGGTTAAAAGAGTTACCTTTATGGTATGTAAATTATATTTCAATAAAGCATTCATTAAAATTCTGTTAAACAAATTCTAAGTTAACAAGAAAAAAAAATGATTGGAAAGGAATACTCCAGAATCTTAACAGTGGTTGAATTTTGGTGACAGGTCCAAAGACAGTTTTTCACATTTTCTCTAACAAACAACTTTTACTTTTATAATGAGGGCCTTTGTTTTCCAAAAAAGTTAATTTCTACTTAAATATATTAAAGCCTTTTAAAGTAATCTATGTGCTGAGGACATGACTAAGCCCATATGTTTAAGACTTCCAACATATATATGTACTTTATATTTTACTTCAATATTGTTTACATCAAGTTAGGAACAATCTCAGAATGAAAACAAAAAACTCTTCTAGCTCCTATAGGCAATATTTAGGCAGTAGGTCCAAGATACCTCAAGCTAAATGAAAGAAAAAAATATTCCATAGTATTTTTTTTTTTTAAGCACAACAGGCAAATCTCAAGGCTAGACAGCTCTGCTGAAGGATCTGAGAATGCCTCTGGCCATCTCAAACCAGCAAAAAATCTTTAGAAAGCAAATCCACATTCTTAATATTGGTCCTGGCATGAATATGACACTATAAATCAACATTCTAAATTGAGAGAGATGGGAGAACATGTGTTGTTTTAGCTTGAAATAGCAGATTAAAAGTAAAAATCCTCAACTATCCCTGTACCACAGACTCTCAAAGTTGGGCTCAGCTTTTTGCACATCTGTATTTAATGTTAACTGTACTTAAACAAGAGAAAAAGAAGTCACATAATTTAGGGTAACAATGAAAAGCTGCCTGGATGTAGGCCTCCTTTGTGTAATAAAGACCTAAGATCATCCTCTAGAAAAGTTGGAATAATTATTATAAAGCATATGCAGTTTTACAGCCTGCTTTTTTCCCACCATGAATTTTCCCATGTTGTTGTTGTTGTTATTATTATTATTATTTTATTTTTTATATTTTTTTGAGACAGAGTCTCGTTTTGTTGCTCAGGCTAGAGTGAGTGCCATGGCGTCAGCCTAGCTCACAGCAACCTCAAACTCCTGGGCTCAAGCAATCCTTCTGCCTCAGCCTCTCAAGTAGCTGGGACTACAGGCATGCACCACCATGCCCAGCTAATTTTTTCTATATATATTAGTTGGCCAATTGATTTCTTTCTATTTTTAGTAGAGACAGGGACTTGCTCTTGCTCAGGCTGATTTCAAACTCTTGACCTCGAGCAACCTGTAATCCTAGCACTCTGGGGAGGCCGAAGCGGGCAGATTGCTCAAGGTCAGGAGTTCGAAACCAGCCTGAGCAAGAGCAAGACACCGTCTCTACTAAAAATAGCAAGAAATTAATTGGCCAACTAAAAATATATAGAAAAAATTAGCCGGGCATGGTGGCGAATGCCTATAGTCCCAGCTACTCAGGAGGCTGAGGCAGAAAGATTGCTTGAGCCTAGGAGTTTGAGGTTGCTGTGAGCTAGGCTGACACCAGGGCACTCTAGCCCTGGCAACAGAGTGAGACTCTGTCTCAAATAAAAAAAACAAAAAACCTCAACCAAATGGATAGAATAACTATTACCTTCTCTTGGTGGATACTTGTTATTACAAATAATGCTACACTAACGATCTTTGTATACAAAGTTTTATCTCATTTTAACTTACATCGTCAGGAGAGAATCACAGAAATGGCAACAACAGGCAAAATGATTACTGATCTTTAAAGCTTTGAAATATATGACACAAATGCATTTCCAAAGAGTTCACAATCGCCCAACTAAGATGTAAGATGCATAACTGCACAGAATAGTACAGTTAAAATAAATTCACTTCAAATGGTAGATGGATTATGTCAATGAATAAATGTAAACTCCCTGAATACCAAGCTATGGCTTACACCTGGCCCCCCAGACATATTCATTTGGCCCATGCCTACTGAAAAGCTGGGAGATTTTTACCTACGAATGTAGATTTCCCATAACCCCTCATGGAAACAGTCAACGGGAAGGAAGAGTCAAATAGCAAACTAGTGGTTGCCTAGAGTGGGAGATGGGGGGGACTGGGAGGTGGGAGAAGTATGGGAGTGATAGTTAAAACATATGGAGTTTCTTTTGGGGAGCAATAATTGACTGTGATGATGGTTGCATATATTTGTGAATACACTAAGAACTACTGAACTATATGCTTTAACTGGGTGAATTTTATGGTATGTGAGCCATATCTCAAAAAAAAACTATCAAAGAAATACCATTTTTCTCACATCTGCTTAGTAAATAAAATATACTGGTGAAGGGGGCTTCTGGGTGCTGGTAATATTCTAATTCTTGATTTGGGTGGTAGTGACAAAAGTGAATTTATTTTGTGGTAATTATTGGTGTACTTTTCTGTGAAAAGGTTATACTTCAAGTACCAAGTCCATAAAAATATGGACAGATAGTATGCTGGTGACAGTGTGTAGATAAACAAACACTCATACTTTGTTACTGGGGAGGTAAGTTGACAAAACCTCTTAGCTATGTAAACTGCAGATTTATAAGCATTAAAAAACACATATACTTTTGTTCCAAACGTATATACTCATATGTATATAAATGTATATACCAGATCTTTATTGCAATCTTGTCTCTAAGAGAAAAGGTGTAGAAAAACTCTAAAAGCCCATTAGCTGAGGCATAGGTGAATAAATTATGGTACAATTATACAGGGAATAGTATTTAGCTATTTAAAATGAGGCAAATTTACATGTACTGAAATGATACTATCCTCAAACTCAAGAGTTACATGAAAAAAGCAAGGTGCACAGAAGAGCATACCTGTGTATCCAGTATGCCACTCTACGTGGGGAGAAAATAAACTAAGGTGGTGGGGGATATTTACACACACATGCACACACATTCATATTCCCAAAGAATATCTTTAGAAGGACACAAAGAAACTAATAATCACAATTGCTTCTGAGGAGGGATCAGTGGGAAATTGGGGGAGACACTTTTCACTTTGTATCTTTAAAACAATGTGGATATATTATCGATTCAAATAAATTAATTCTTCTAAAGTAAAAACTAAGCTGCTTCAAAACAGGTGAATGCCACGGAGCTTCTAAAAGTTAAAATCTGAAATGTCTACTATAAATTCTCAAATACTTCCTGTTTCCCATTTTAAGAGTTACATTCTCAAACCATAAAGTAGTAGTAATAGTAGTAGTAATAATAAGTAGCTACTTACATCAACACCTCCAAACAAGTCAAAAATATAAGTATTTGGATAAGTGGTTTCTTGGGTAAGTTTCCTGTCTTCAGTAACAAATGCCATAGCCTCCATGGAGAGAAGAGGAGAAATTTCCTAGTTTAAAAAGGTACATAGAGACATTCCATATAAGTAATCAACACAGACCACACACTAAAATACCAGTTTGAGCACAAAGATAACCCCCCAGTGAACCACACTTCCTAGTATTCAGGCCCCTGCAGAGCCCTTTTCCATGCTGAACTTAGGCTGATGTGACTTGCTTCAACTAACAGAACATGGCAGAAGTGACACTATGCCACTTCCAACATAAGCCTCCTTTTAGCTTTTGCCACTTTGGAACCCAACTGTCATGCTGTGAGAAGTTCAACATAGCCACGTGGGGAAGCCACAGGGAAGAGGGCAAGACTGATACCCTTCGCTGATCTCCACCTGATGGCCAGCACCAACTTGCCAGGGATGTGAGCGAGGCCATTTTGGACATTCCAAATATCTCAGTACCCCACCCAACACCACATGAAGCAGAACAACCACTTAATCAACCAAGAATTGTGAGAGATAAATGGTGCTTGTTACTTCAAGCTACTAGGTTTTACGGTGACTGGCTCTGCAGCAACAACCAAATCACTGCTCAAATATCACCTGCTGCAGGAACCCCCAGCCAGAAACAATCTGATGTTCTAAACTCCCAAAGCAATTTAAAACTCATTTGTGGCATTTAGCACTTTTACTTTGTACCTATTCACAAACCTATGTTATTTCTTCCCTACACTAAATGCTCCTTAAAGATAAGACTGGGACATATTCTATGTATTCCCCACAGGTCCCTAGATACTGCAGGTATTTGATATGGTAGACACAGAGTAGCAGTTCTCAGATTTTGGGGGCCATAGAATCCCTCATTCATGTGGAACAAGGCTAAGAGAAAAAAATTCTTACAGAAAAACCCAGAATGTGGTAAGGTCCAAGTAAGTATTTGTTGAATGAATAAAGAAATAATGATCACATAGCAAGGACTCGAAAATTTCCAATTAACTTCCCTCGCCCTTAATCTCACCTCAATCTCATATCTCAGAAATTCTGCAGGAATCAAATAATGTGGAATGTTTTGCAAAACATTCTTAAAGAAGTATAAAAGCTATAATTTCTATCACTCAGACTGTGAGAAGATTAAGAATATGTTTTAAAAGTAAAGAGTAAGCTTGTTTAGTTTCTATTATATTTTTTTTTTTGAGACAGAGTCTCACTTTGTTGTCCAGGCTAGAGTGAGTGCTGTGGCGTCAGCCTAGCTCACAGCAACCTCAAACTCCTGGGCTCGAGTGATCCTTCTGCCTCAGCCTCCCGAGTAGCTGGGACTACAGGCATGCGCCACCATGCCCGGCTAATTTTTTTTATATATATATCAGTTGGCCAATTAATTTCTTTCTGTTTATAGTAGAGACGGGGTCTCGCTCTTGCTCAGGCTGGTTTTGAACTCCTGACCTTGAGCAATCCGCCCACCTCGGCCTCCCAAGAGCTAGGATTACAGGCGTGAGCCACAGCGCCGGCCTCTATTATATTTTACAATAACTTACTATGTGACATAATCAAAACCTCACCTCTGAATAACACTATGTCATTTAGTTTCATTATGATCAAATATAACTTACATGGGTTTTAACTGCAGCTAGAGCTGTTGGCTCTATATTCAAATTTGGGGCCAGCCCCAAGCTAAAGTTTAGATAAGGTAACTCCACATCTACTGAATTAGAAATTTTAGGGTGAGGCCCAGCACTCTGTGCTTTAACAAACCCTCCAGGTGACTCTGATACACACTCCTGTAATGTCTTTGCATTGTTTTCCATCCATCTCCCAACTATCAAACTTAGCCCCTTCAATCTTCTTATGTTAGTGATAATTTTCAACAACCAGAAGGCCCTTTCCATGAGCCTTCAGTAATATGGGATCTTTTAAATTCTGTTTCAAAAGAATATCATCCCAGGCCGGGCGCTGTGGCTCACGCCTGTAATCCTAGCTCTTGGGAGGCCGAGGCGGGCGGATTGCTCAAGGTCAGGAGTTCGAAACCAGCCTGAGCAAGAGCGAGACCCCGTCTCTACTATAAATAGAAAGAAATTAATTGGCCAACTGATATATATATAAAAAAAATTAGCCGGGCATGGTGGCGCATGCCTGTAGTCCCAGCTACCCGGGAGGCTGAGGCAGAAGGATCACTCGAGCCCAGGAGTTTGAGGTTGCTGTGAGCTAGGCTGACGCCACGGCACTCACTCTAGCCTGGGCAACAAAGCGAGACTCTGTCTCAAAAAAAAAAAAAAAAAAAAAAAAAAAAGAAGAACAGCAGTAGCTTTTTTACTTCATCTTCAAAACCTTTCTCGGGGTATCTGTAGCACCTGATTAACTTAAAATCTTGAGCAAATGCTTGCATACTCTCTAAGTCTTGTGCTGTGAACACACAGACATCTGCACCCATTATGTCATCTGCTAGTGTATTACCTGGGGCCAGCATGTCACCAGCCACCAGAATGTCAAAGAGTGGTTCTGCATATCATCAGTAATCAAGTTTTGCTCCAGAAGCATCAAGAAACTTAGCTACTGCTTCCAAATCAGTACCAATTTCAGTCAAGCCTTGAATCAGTCTTGAAACTAAGTAGGACCAAACCTCTCTTTTTCAGGTTTTAAAACATTAGCCTGATAGCATTGGCTTTTACTACCTTTGATTATTCATAAAAGACATCCGAATTTAAGGTAAAGAGAAAAGAGCCAGAAATCTCCAATGTGTTAACAACTGCAGTAGTATACATCTGTGACAAGAACACAAAACCTCTCTGCTTTAAAGGGCTATATCAAGAAAGGGAAAACACAACCGACAGAACAGGAAAAAATATTTGTAAATCATCTATCCGATAAGATCTAATGTCCAGAATACATAAAAAACTCATCAACTCAACAATAAAAAGACAAATAACCCAATTTAAAAACAGGCAACAGGCCGGATATCAAAAACCCTATAATAGAAACAAAGAATGCCTTTGATGGGCTCATCAGTATACTGGACATGACCAAAGAAATAATCAGTGAGCTTGAAGATATGCCAAAAGAAACTTCCCAAACTGAAAGAGGAAAAAGAAAAAACAAAAACAGAATATCCAAGAACTATAGGACAATTATAAAAGGTGTAACATATGTGTAACCAAAATACTAGAAAAAGAGAGAAAGGAGAAGAAATATTTGAAATAATAATGGTTGAGAATTTTCCAAAATTAATGACAGACAACAATTCATAAATCTAGGAAGCTCAGAGAACACCAAGAAGGATAAAATTTTTTTAAACCTCAAAAGCAAAAATCTACTACATGTAAAGCATATCATATTCAAGGTTTGTTTGTTTAAAAAAAAAAAAAGATAAAGAGAAATCTTGAAAGAAACCAGAGGGGCCTAGCATGGTTGCTCATGCTTGTAATGCCAGCACTTTGGAAGATCAAGGCTGGAGGACCACCTGAGATCAGAAGCTCGAGACCAATCTGGGCAACATAGTGAGACCCACTCTCTAAAAACAAAAATAAAAAACAATTAGCCAGGCCGGGCGCGGTGGCTCACGCCTGTAATCCTAGCACTTGCACTTTGAGGAAGGCCGAGGCGGGCGATTGCTTCAAGGTCAGGAGTTCGAAACCAGCCTGAGCGAGACCGTCTCTACCAAAAATAGAAATAAATTAATGACCAACTAAAAATATATTACAAAATTAGCCGGCATGGTGGCGCATGCCTGTAGTCCCAGCTACTCGGGAGGCTGAGGCAGTAGATCCCTGAGTCCCGGAGATTGAGGTTCTGTGAGCCAGGCTGACGCCACGGCACTCACTCTAGCCTGGCCAACAAAGTGAGACCTCTGTCTCAAAAAAAAAAAAAAAAAAAAAAACATAGCCAGACATACTGGTACACAGCTGTATTCCCAGCTACTCAGGAGGCTGAGGCCAGAGGATCACTTGAACCCAGAGAGTTCGACTGCATGTGAGCTATGATTGTGCCACTGCCACTGTAGCCTGAAGTGTCTCTAAAAAATTTAATTAAAAAAATAATAAAAAAGAAGCCTAGGGCAGAAAAGAACCTTACCTATAGTGGAAGTAGGATGATTACATTGGGCTTCTATCAGAAGCCATGCAAATAAGGAAAGTAAAGTGAAATGTTTAAAGAATTGGGAGGGGAAAAAAAAACCACCAACCTAGGAATTCTTAATCCATGAAATTATCCTTCAAAAGTGAAGGAAAAATGAAGATTTTCTTAGACAAACAAAAACTGAGGGAATTTTCACCAGCAGACCTGCCTTATAGAGACATTAAAAGTAGTTTTCAGGCAGGCCCGGTGGCTTGATGCCTGTAATCCTAGCACTCTGGAGGAGCGAGGGGAGGATTGCTCGAGGCCAGGAGTTCGAACTCAGCCTGAGCAAGAGACCCTATCTCTACTAAAAATAGAAAGAAATAATATAATGACCAACTAAAACTATATATACAAAAAATTAGCCGGCATGGTGGCACATGCCTGTAGTTCCAGCTACTCAGGAGGCTGAGCAGTAGTATGCTTGAGCCCAGGAGATTGAGGTTGCTGTGAGCTAGGCTGACACCACGGCACTCACTAGCCTGGCACAAGTAGACTCTGTCTCAAAAAAAAAAGGAAAAGGCTGGGCGCAGTGGCTCATGCCTGTCGTCTAGCACTTTCTGGGAGGCCAAGGCAGGCAGATAGCTGCTACTTCAAGGGTTCGGCACCAGCCTGAACATACCTGAGGACATATCAAGCCGTCTCTAATCTAGAAAAAAAAAAGTAGTTCTTCAGTGAGAAGGAAATGACATGGGCTGGAAAACTTGACATACATAAAGAATACTGAAAAAGGAATAAATGAATGTAAAATAAAATTACTTTTTATTCTGAATGAATTTAATAATTCAAATAAAATAATATAACAATGCATTAGATGATATAGCATTTGGATAGTGTGACATGAGTGATAGCAATGTTTTCAGTGGTAGGAAGGAAGAATACTATCTTGTACCATCCACAAAGCAGCAGTGTCATTAAAAGTGGACTTAGCCGGGCGTTGTGGCTCACGC